CATCTCAGAGAACTTTTCCCCGGCCTCTCGGACGATGTCTCCCAGTCTGAAGATGGGGCACAGGGAGTCGTTTCCTCGGTGGCAGTTCCTCAGGTAGGCGTCGTTCATCTCTGGGAGGATGTTCCTTCTGTAAAAGAAAGCGGACTTCAATATTTCCTTAAAAAAATCTGAAGTTTCAGTTCCCTGGTAATGAAGAGGGTTTTTCTGAATGTTTTTTTTATGCCAAATGCAAAATATTAGCATCATTAAACACAATGTGCAGTTGCAGCAACCCAGCAACAAGGAGCAAGGGTAACACAGCAGCATAGGGGTTTCTGTATGTATTTGTGCAAACAGATTTGCAAATGCATGGACTGCTGAAGAGTTTTGCTCCTGCACAACAGCACAGTAAACCTGAAATGAAACAACTGTGATCCAATTTAAATGATATAACATCATAGTTTTCATTGAAGATAAAGATCTGCAAGATGAACTGTAAAAAAAAAAAATCTCCTTAGCATTAAAAAGAAACTGTCACAATGATCCAGCTCCAAGAATTAAAAACTAAAAACTGCTGATGCAAGAAAAAAAAAAAACCCTGAAAGAAAAACAAACTCATTGAAAAAATACAAAATCTCTGCATTTCTTAACTGAAGCAGCTGAAGGGGAGAAACTGAATCTGCTGTATCCGCAGGCACAGAGCAGTCTCACCTGATGTAGTTGAAAGCTGGGAACCGGATGTTGTTTTTAACGAGGACAGTGAAGTTCTCAGCTGCTGCCAGCAGAGCAGGTCTGCGTCACATGAAGCGATCATTATTAGCCAAAAAGCTTTTGAGAGCAAACTAGGCCAATTAAATGACATGAACCCGAAAACTGTCAATACTTCATGTTAAAATAGTTTAAAACTGGATTCATAACATAATAACATAACTTAGGACTGTATACACTCACCTGACCGTTAAGACTGCACATCCTCAACAGATTAAGAGGAAGAAAATAGATTAATCAGTGGCTATTTCTTTGTAATTTGCTGTGGCAAGAACACATTTTATGTATTTGCTGACATTTGGTACTTTAAGGTCTTTATCCTTAAGCTGACTGACCCCTTTAAAAACTGCTGGGAAGTCCTGCCAGCTTCTCAAAATGCTTCTTGCTCTGTATAATCGATAGATGTTCATATTTATATGAGTGGTAAATGTATGACTCTAGTATTCGAAGATTGTGGGGTGGTTTAAACTTGGTTTCTACTTATTGGAGGGGGTGTGATGGCATGTATTAGTATGTTTTTCTCCTGCTTTACAGTCCAAGCTTTTGCAGAGGACTACTTGTATGATGTATCTTCCAGCTGTTATCATAACAGAGCCAAAGAGGGCGTGGAAAGAAGGGAACAAATCATGGAAGAATAACAGCTGTGTGTCTTGCTCCTGATTGAGTTGGTATAACCATTGCACAGTCTACATGCATCTAACTAGATGTTGTACCCATGTTTTTTTAGATCGAGCTCACGTGATGTGGCTGTCGGTGAACTTCAAAGACTTCTGAAATGTCACATTGTGTAGACAAATTCGTTTCTCTTACCTTGGAGGAGTGGATCTGGTTTCGATCGGACACCACGCAGAAACTTCACAGGTTTTCTTCGATAAATCAAACTTCACACACGAT